ATAACCTTAACCATGTTTAAGTTTTTGCAGTCAGTGTAAATAAATAAATGAATTAGTTTGAATTTATTGAATGGTCTGAAGTTCGCGCGCTACGCAACGTTGCCAAATTTTTTGACTCCATTTTAACGTAGGTTATTTGAGAATTTTTTGTGATTTTTAAATATTACTTTCTCAATAAATATCTCGGTAACTGATCTATTTTATTGCAAAAAAAGAAACCTGAATATTTTGAAAATCTAATTTTTAGTTTTTTTTTTTACTTCATCTAATCCATGACTGATATGCAGTATTTCTCAAATTATACTGACTTTCTCGTAAGACTTTGAACAAATACTAACATTTAAAAATTTTATTTTTTCAAAAATTTGTCCGGTAAAGTATAATTTAAACCTCACTATTAGATAAATAAGGACCTTAACTATTAGAAAAAAATTTAATTTACTCATAATCTAATATTTTTTATTTTACATTGGCGGCGAAAGGACCTCCTTAAGAAATATTTCTTAAATACAAAGAAATATTTTTTAAATGCTAAGAAATGATGTTTAAGAAATGATTTCTTAAATGTTAAGAAATCCTTCTATCAGTGTTCGAAATTCATGGCTCGATCGATTTAAACTTGAAAATTTTTCATGGAGTTTCAAAAACTGCGTCGATTGCCGCCAACCGCGTGAAAATCGGTTCATTCATTCAAAAGTTATTGCCGTTTGAAAATTCAAAAAATTGTGTCTTTAAACTGCTATTAGAGTTTTGAGCTCGAAGAGCTTAAATTTACACAAAATGTGTAGTTTGAAGCGTTTAAGTACATAATGAGCGGGAAGTTGCATCAGGGATGGCCTTTAGGGTGAACCGTTTTTCTAATTTTTTTTTATTGTATTACTTACTTGAAATTTCAAATTATTTCAGTGCTGCAAATATAGATCATTGGTCAATCACCATAGACTTCTATCACGGCTCGATGAGATTTTCGAATATGGCTTATGTACAAGACAAAAACATTTTTTACAACGCGAATTTGACAAGTGAATACGATCCGGAAAATCGTAAAATTGCAATATTGATTACCGATCAACGGGTGCTTTCGGACGATAATAAAGCTTTGTTGATGGGTATTGCGCAAATGGCTTATCAAGAAGTTTTAAGTTATAATGAAGATAACCAAATTAAGAAACTACCTAACGCCATCGCAGACAAAAATTATGCAAAGTGTTTTATGTCCATATTCAAAAGCTCAAACATAACTATTCCGTGTTATGGTTTAAACGCTACTTTTACGTCGTGTATGTACCAAGTGACAGTAAGTGTGATTAATTTTTAATGATACTGAAGGAAGCATAATACTAAAGTTAGCCGATATTTTTAACAAAACAGATAGTTCAACAGGTTGTCATATTGAGGAATAGTGTAATCCTAAAAACAGAAAAAAATAAAATAAGATACGTATTACTTTGTTTATCAGTATCGATAAAAAATAAAACACGGAAGTTGGTAGACATTGGAGTTTTTTTTAGAATTCTATAGCAATAAAATGATTATAAAAAAAAATTTAATAAAAAATTCCACATGTGAAAATTATAAAAAATTGACAGTTGTCAGCTTCCTTCATGAAAATTAAGTTAGCCGACATCTGAAAATTTTTAGAATTTTTTTTTTATTGAAAAAATGATTACAAAAAAATAAAAAAAAAAAATTTCACTTGTCAAAAACTTTAAAAACTGTAAGTGCAATTTTTTAAAAATATTTTATTCTTGTAATTTAATTTAAAAAAATAAATCAAAAAATTAAAAATGTCGGCTAACTTTATTATTATTAATTTTTTCACTAAAAAAAATTCTAAAAATTTGAAGATGTCGGCTAACTTAATTTTCATGAAGGAAGCTGACAACTGTCAATTTTTTATAATTTTCACATGTGGAATTTTTTATTAAATTTTTTTTTATAATCATTTTATTGCTATAGAATTCTAAAAAAAACTCCAATGTCTACCAACTTCCGTGTTTTATTTTTTATCGATACTGATAAACAAAGTAATACGTATCTTATTTTATTTTTTTCTGTTTTTAGGATTACACTATTCCTCAATATGACAACCTGTTGAACTATCTGTTTTGTCACATAAAGAGCAACAAAGAGAAAGTGGTACTCGTTGGAGTTTTATCTGAATCAAAGAAACCGAAAATCAATATTCATGAAGGAATACTCTCCTTAGAGTTCGAAAATATCGACGATTTTGATATAATTATCCAAAGAAAATTACGCGAGTGGTCCGAAAAAAATCCTTATCAACCTACTTATCCACTTTACTAAATAAAAATTATGAATCGGCGCACCATTCAGAAAAATGACTGGCAGTACTTTCTTGCTTCTCAGGAAACTTCAAAGTTTTTAACGTTCAAATGACTTTTTACCTGTAAATGTAACCGTTCATTTATTTATGAGGATAATTAAATTAAAATCACCGACAAAAAAATAGTAACTTTAACCAATCTTTGTTTCTAATAGTGAGCGCATTATTTTGGCCCTCAGTGATTTCCAGTCAAATCTTTTGAACTACCTAAAAGTGAAGTGAAGAAAAAATTAAAGACAAGTTTATTAATAAATTAAAATTAATTTAATTATTGGACCTAATTATGATTTCGTATATCCATGATATTTTTTTGTAAGATTTAATTAAATTGTTGCTCTTTATAATTTTTTCATAAAGACGCAATTTGTCGTTGTCTTCAAAGAGCAATTTATTTGTAAGAAATTCACAGAAAAAAAACTTGGCAAATTTCTGAAGACACGAAAGTCAAGTCGGAATATTACACAAGTCTTGATTCAACATCTCCACCTGGTTAACTAGGAGTTACACTTGCTGGTCCTGTCAGTTTTAAGTTGAGAAAATTTATGAGGAGAGATCCTAATGACCACAATACCAAACATAAATCCAACAAGGTAGATATTTTTATTATTTATAATACTAATATTTCTCTTGAAGAGGTTAATTTTTTATCAAAAACATCAAAATTGATTATTTAGACATTTTTTGGATATAGACACACGAATTACTGGGCCCGAAAAAAAAAAAACAAAAAAAATAAAAAAAAGTATTGGAATTAACAAAATTTGAATTTTCTTCCATGCTTCTAAATATTTTCAATTGTTTTGAATTTCTTCTTCTATGAAAATTTAACAGTGTGAATCGTTTTGAATTCTTCTTTCTTACGAGGGGAAAAAAATCATTAATTCATTTAATTCTTTTAGCAATTGATTGATACACTATCAAAATACAAGTTTTGATAGTGAATCATTGTTATAGCTTCTCAAGTTTAATTACAATTAAATACACAAATCTAAATTGGTGATAAGCAGTGACGAGTGTATAGAAAAACCTTGAACTCAACAAAATTTTTAGCTTGTAACGGTCGAATCCGCCGAGTGGCGCTTTTAATCTGGATGTAACATACTGATAATTTCATTTACGTTACAGAATTAAAATAAAAACAAAGATAAGAAGAAATAAAAACTCAAGCATGATCATAAGCATGGAACAAACCAGGATGAAAATGACAAAGATATGGAAAAAGAAAACAATTGTAAAGAATAATTTGTAGAAAGAATAAACTCTGTCATCTGATAGCTTGAGTTCTAGTCCTAAGTCTGCAAATAATACCAAGTTTATTTATCCGTAATTTTCTTATTAATGTCTATCAAAGACTTATACTGGTTTGACTGTAAATAGATTTTTACATCCATACAATACGTTAGGCTTAAGTAAATAACTTTTTTTTTAAGTATTTCTGATAAATGTTTTGTTTACGATAATAATCATTCAGTAATCATTCAGATTCTTATGTGATAAAACGTCACTGGCAATTAAAACATGTTTATGCTCCTGAAATTCTCCTGTATCATCAATGTTTCTTAATAGCTTGTAAATTTTAGTGAGATACTAGTAGGTACAGTATTCTTCAGACCATCAGAATAGTCAGATCAATTGTCAGAAAAATAGTAAAATATTTTATTAAAATAGAGAAATCATGGTCAGTAAATTATTTATTTATTTTATCAATATTTTTGAGCCAAAGCTATGGCAATCTTATCACAGTAGAAAAATTTGATTCAAATTCATTGCTGGGAAGAAAACCTGTGATAACTGATATTTATGATAAATGGTGGTTGGTTAATTTTGTGCGTACTATTGATAATAAGTATGAGAGTTGTCAAGTTATGCCAATAAGGCGGTGTTTATCAGTGAGTAAATTACGTTTATTTATTTTTATAAAACAGAGTTTATTGTTTTATTGTATTATTTACTTAAAATGTGAAATTATTTCAGCGCTGCGAAAGAAGATCATTGGTCTATTACCATAGACTTCTATCAGGGATGATGGAGGTACGCAGGCATGGCGTCCGTACAAAATAAAAATATTTTTTACAACGTGAACTTGACAAGCGAATACGATCCGGACAAGCGTAAAATTGCTGTATTGTTTGCTGACCAACCGGTACTTGCAGACGATAAAAGAACTTTGATAAGAGGTATTGCGCAAATGGCTTACGAAGAAGTTTTAGGTTATAATGAAGCAAACCAAATAAAGAAGCTATCCCAGAATATCTCTGACACGAATTATTCAAAGTGTTTTATGCCCACGTTCAAAGGCAAAAAAATAAAGGCTCCGTGTTATACTTTAAATGATACCTCATACTCATCGTGTATGTACTCATTAACGGTAAGTGTAATAAAATTTTATCTATATTGATAAACAAAGTAATAAATATCTTATTTTATTTTATGCTATTTGTAGGATTACACTTTTTCCCAGTATAACAATCTGTTGAACTATTTGATTTATCACACAAAGAGAAGCAAAGAAAAAGTCGTACTTGTTGGAGTTTTATCCAGATCAAATAAACCAAGTATCAGTGTGCATGGCCGAGTAGTCCCTTTAGAGTTTGAAAATATTGACGACCTTTACAAAAATGTCCGAAGAAAATTACGCCAGTGGTTTGATGACAATCCTAATCCTCGTATTTATCCACTTTATTAAATGGAAATTAGAAATCGGCGTCCCATCCGGATAAATCATTGGCAGTATTTTCTCGCTCCACGGGAAACTTCTCAAAGTTTTTAATGTCCAAATGACTTGATATCTGTTGATGTAACCGTTTATTTATTTATTATCAAAATTAAATTGAAATCACCGACAAATAATTGTAACTTCAACCAACCTTTGTTTCTAAAGGCGAGCGCATTATTCTGGTCCTCAATGATTTCCAATCAAACATTTTGAACCACCTAGAAGTGAAGTGAAGAATAAATTTAAGACAAGTTTATTAATAAATTAAAATTAATTTAATTTTTGGACCTACTTGTGATTTCGTAAATCCATGATCCCATTTCGTAAGTATCCTAATCTCTCCACCGGCTTAGGACTCAATAATTTAGTAATTAAATCTGCAGCGTGCGGTTTTACGAAATCTGGAAACTTAATATCTTTATTATTGCTCTTTATAATTTTATTATAAAGACGCAGTTTGTCGTTGTCTTCGAAGGGCACTCTTTTTGTAAGTAGTTCGTAGAGAAGAATCCCCAGGGACCAAAAGTCTACAGCTCTAAAAATATCTCAAAGTTTTAATGCACGATTTTTTTCATCCGATGAAGAATAAGTTTAATTTATTACCTGTCGTGGCCTTCTATCAAAATCAACTCTGGAGCCATGTATTCAGATGTCCCAACAAACGACCACGTTTTGTAAGGACCTGTCCTTTTGCTCGTACCAAAATCAGACTGAAATGAAATTTTAGCTCATAATGTAAGTGTTAATAAGTAATGAAGCTATATCACCCAAAAATAAACTAACAAACCAATTTAGCATATCCATAATTGTCTAGTAAGATATTATCAGGCTTCAAATCTCGGGAAATTATGTCCAGCGAGTGCAAATGATCTAGAGCTTCAATAATACATCCTGTTACAAATCTTGCCGTTGTATTGTTGAACTTCCCATTTCTATAAAGCATTGTGCGAACATCACCACCCAGACATGCTTCCATTAATAAGTAAACATACTTAGGATCTTTGAAAGTTTGATATAACCTTCAATAAAACAATATCTTAAATGACAATATAGTAGTATATATAATAATAGTTTATTTAGCTCTAAAGCTATTTACAAATTTTTTTAATTAAATACAATTTAACTTATCGAAGGGCCCAATATTAATCGAGGATATATATTTTAAATATATGTATTCGATCTTGGATTATAATTTCATGTGGAAGTTTGTTTTACCAGTTTTCTTCTCTATAAACAATTGATTTCTCCGCACTTTAAGTTCTGGTTTTTGCTACATTAAGAGAAGATGTTTGTCTTGTTACATAGCGTGGTCTATTGAATTCAAATTCCTTAATCAGATTATTGATCATTTTGTGTGTGAATAAACAAGAATTAAAAACTATTTTTTGCCCAACCGATAACTATCCTAGAGTATCTAACATAAACTCTAATTTTGTGTTTCTAAACATTCAATTTGTATTTTGTTTAATATATAATCATCATAGTTAAGCATAATTGTGTTGCAATATTCAAAGTGCAGGAGCAGATTGTTTTTATAGATTTGACATTTTACATAACTGGTTACATTATTATTTAATCTGCTTATAAAATTAATTTTTTTCAGAATTCTGTTACTAACATTTTCCGCATTTTTTTATAATTTAAATTATCATCTATTACAATGCCCAGACACTTTGTTTTAGTTAAATATTTTATCACTTCATCATTAATCATCAATTTAGACTTGTTTCTGGTATTTTTAACACGTTGATCATGTATTACCATAAACACTGTTCTTTTAATGTTAATTTTAAGTTGACTCTTATTAATCCAGTCATATAATTTTTTTAAACATTCGTTATATATATATATATATATATATAAATAAATTTTGTTTATTGCAAAATTCAAATCTATTTAGAATTACTTCAAAAAGAATTACTTATAATTATGGCTACCATCACGCCAATCGTCGATTACTGCTCACTGGTACTCATCGATTCATCTAAAAGATTAGACTACAAACTTCAACGTCTTACAAATAACTCTATAAGGTTTATTTACAATTTAAGACGAGACGAGCATATTACTCCTTTTAGACAATCATTAAATTGGTTTACGATTAAGTCTAAAAGACGTTACTGTCTTGCGTGCTTCCTCTACAAACTCTTCAAAAGTGGTAAACCTGAATTTCTGAGAAATCTTTTTGAGGAAGAATCTGCAGACATTAGAAGGTCAGAGAGAATAGCAACTATAAACAACAACATTACGTTCAAAATTCCAAATTTCTAAACTTCAACATTTGAACACTCCTTTGTTATATCCGCAATCAGACTTTGGAAAGAACTACCTATTGAGATAATAAAATCGCTGAGCTATCATACTTTAAAAACTAGTGCTTATAATTTCTTCCTGAATCAGGAAAGAGATGGCTAACTACTAACTTCAAATATACACTCTGAACTTAGACCATTAATTTTACTTGTTTATATAAAAACTGATATTAATATTGTTACCATTTAAGGATTGTAAAATGAGCTGATTTATTTGATTTATACTTATTTGATTATTTGATTTTTATGATTTATATGAATTATATAATTTATATTGTTAATACTCTGATTTACATTTTGAACTACTCTTTAAAATATTCATATTCTAATTTGAAATCTATTTTTGTATTAAATTAGAGTTAATGACTGTTATTATAAATTCACTTGTAACTCTTTCTTTATTCTACTTGTTAAAAATACAATTATTAGATAAGTTAATATTAAACCTCTTACGTGTACTTTAAATAAACCACCATTGTATATGTTTGACATTCGACCAATGCCTTGGCATCAGATTCAGATTCAGATTCAGATTCATTTTATTTATGCCAAAGCCTGCTGGCCAGATGGCAAGTTTTACAAAAGTACAAAATTTTATAATACAATAAAAAGAAAATTATACACAATGATTGTAAACTTATAAAAAAAAAAAAGCTATCGCTGGAAGCTATCATCATTATTAACTAATGCTGTAGTGACTAGTAACTTAAAAACTATCTAAGTACCAAGAATAACCACTAAAAATTAATTAAATTTAAGAGATCAAATACAGGCATCAAAATATTTTAAATAATAAAAAAAAAAAAAAAAAAAACTTATAATAAATAAACTATTGCTGAAAACTTTTTCAATAATATTAAATATTAAATTTAATTAAAAAAAAAACTAATTTTAATTATATAAATTACGGTTCTTACTTGCATATAAATGGAGAATCACAAGCTTGCATCACAAATTTTTCATTCAAAATATACTTTTGGTAATTAAGCTTGCTGACCAGAGTCTTAGAAATTTTCTTCAACACAAAGCTTTTGTCCGGAATAGATTTGCTAGTAACTAACAGCACCAGCCCAAAACTTCCTCTACCAATTCCAGCATTGATATCCAAATCCGTTAACTGAAGATCTGGATACTCGGGTTTCCATTTAATCTTCAGAGATTTCTTACGTTCTTCATACTCAGCAGTCCAATCTCGCTTCTTTATAGATTCCAAATCTCCAAGGTAATTTAAAAAAGTCTTCCTATCAATAATTAAACACTCAACACCCGGACTTGCAGCGACAAAGCTTGCAACACTAGCTTTTCTGATATTATTTTCATTAGCATAGAGTGTCTTCTCTCCAAAGTACTCTCCTTTGTACAACTCAGAAATTACTATTTCTTGACCATCACTCAGCTTCATTACTTTGACATGTCCACAGTTTATGATAAAAAATTTGTCATTAGTGTCTCCTTCATCCAAGATATAAGTTCCAGCGGGAAAAAATTTCACGTACATCAAATCTGAAATTTTTCTTAAAACATGATTAGAGAGATCACGAAGAAATGAAATTTTCCGGAGCATTTCAATGTTGTCTTCAGTTATTCGCTCAATATCATCTTTCATGGAGGCTTGATATGATTTTCTGTCCAATACCCAAACTTTTCCTCCTTTTTTCACTGTAAGTAATTCAATAATTAATTTTTTATATTACATAATACATAAATAAATGTACTTATTAATGATTAATAATATTTTTCCATTGTATACTATAGATAGTGTTCATAATTGTTGGTTATGTGGATTAACCAATCATAAGAATGTAAAGAGAGTCAGATTCAAATTAGCCAATCACAAGACAGAATATACAGAATACAACAACAGTCACTTAACCTTTAAAGTAACAATGTTTTAAGAAGAAATTTCATTAATCATTTAAACATAAGTTGTGAAGTAATGATTGATAAGTTAATTAATTAATACTTCACATTAAAGACAGCTTAATGTATAATATACAATATGAGAAAAAATTTTTTTTATATATGACAAAAAATGTCGTGAAAAGAAAAAAAAAGTTTCGATAGCTTTTTTGCCTATGAAAATTAATTCAGCAGATACTCAAAAATTTTTAGAAATTTTTTAACAAATAATTATGGCAAAAAAAAATTGACATGTAGAAATTGAAAAAAATTAAAAATGTAATTTTTTAAAAATAAAAGTGACTGCTAACTTTAATGTCATTTTTTGCCTTCAAAAGTTGGAAAAAATTTTGACTCATGTTTTTGGATAAAATTTCTATTTTATCTTTTTTGAAAAGTACATAAAAAACGAGCAATAAAAAAAAATGATATCATAATTTTCTAAAAAAAATTTACAAGTTTTTTTGAAAATTTGTTAAAATTGTGATAATCAAATTTTTTTTTTAAATCTTCATTTTTTTATATATTTTTTAAAGAAAAAAAAAGTTTCGATAGCTTTTTTGCCTATGAAAATTAATTCAGCAGATACTCAAAAATTTTTAGAAATTTTTTAACAAATAATTATGGCAAAAAAAAATTGACATGTAGAAATTGAAAAAAATTAAAAATGTAATTTTTTAAAAATAAAAGTGACTGCTAACTTTAATGTCATTTTTTGCCTTCAAAAGTTGGAAAAAATTTTGACTCATGTTTTTGGATAAAATTTCTATTTTATCTTTTTTTGAAAAGTACATAAAAAAACGAGCAATAAAAAAAAAATGAATATCATAATTTTCTAAAAAAATTTACAAGTTTTTTTGAAAATTTGTTAAAATTGTGATAATCAAATTTTTTTTTTTTAAATTCTTCATTTTTTTATATATTTTTTCAAAAAAAAATATATCAATAAAATCAAGTAGAAATTTCTTTAAAAAAAATGAAAATTAAAATGGTGGACCCCACTTGTAAATAATTACCAAAATTTTTCTCATAGTAATTTTCTTGTTGAAAAAAATTTTTATTGGTTCAAGAAAAAAAATTTTTAATGAATATTTTCAAATTGTCTATCTAAAATTTTTTTTTTAATCAAAAAAAAATTTTTTTAAACAAAAATTACTTTTATATTACTGTGAAAAAAATTTTCGTTTCTTCAGCTAGAAAATAAAATTGTTAAAAATTTGAAACAAATAAATTTTTTGCACTAAAATTTACCATCAATAGAAGCAAATCTTTTAGCTTTGTACAGCAAAGCAAGTTCTCCAAACACAACACCGGGCCCAAAAGTCCCTTGATATTTATTTCCCTTGTAAATATCAAAAACACCTTCCTCAGATACATAAAGATGATATGCATCATCTCCTTCATTAATCAGCCGGGTGTTTGGCGGAATGTCCTGCGAATACATTGCACTGATGATTGTATCCACTTGCATGTCATTAAAATTGCTCAAAAACTCGTTGCTCTTGATCGCACTTCTCAATCTTGACTTTGTTCTAAAAAAAAAAAAAAATATAACAAATAATAAAAAATTGATGATTAATTTCTAATAAAATAATTTAAGATGTAAAAAAATAATTACTCAGTGTCTTTTTGGTAAACAATAGGAGTCGAGCTCGAAACTCTAACTTGCTCACCGAAAATATCGTCTCTACGAACATTCGACAATCTTCTGTAAATCTGTTGCTCATTATTATCATTTTTATTGTTCGCAGCTTTAGAATTTTTGTTAGTAAGATCAAAATTCCACTTTGATTGACACAGTGACGAGCGACAACACAAAAACTTCATCGTCAGTTCATTACATAAGCACAATAAATATTTAATTACAAGTAATAAAATTTTAAAAAGCTTATATTGTATCAAAAAGATAATAGTGTAATAGTGTACGTGGAACATATAACATACCGACTGACAATCCAGCTAATAGTTTATATTTCCTCTACGATCTGTTATCAGATAAGACAACAAGGTTGCGGATATCGACGATTAAATAAGGGACAGATTTTTTTATTCTCTGTTAGATATTATTGCTCTAATTAATTAGATTAAATACAAAGATTAATTCGCTTTCTCAAAAATATTTACAATTTTTTTTTTAAATAATTAATTTTATTTTTTCTAACAACAAAATCATAAACTTGATTTATATTTTTATTATCATGTTAATTTTAAAGTAAATCTTATTAAATACGTAACGATTTCACGAAATGTTAAATATCTTATCCGTATTTTACAACTTAGCTGTGTACAAAATTCTTATCTCAAATTTACTTGGATTTAATTAAACATAGTAATTTAATTTACAATTAAAAATTACAAAAACCAAAAAATAACATTTGCATCTTATCAGGGGTTGATTAAAATTTATTAAAAGTCCATGTCCCAGCCGGAAAATTCATCAGGTGGAATTTCACGGTCTGGAGGATATCTTTCGAAATTTCTTGTGTCTGTTTGGCTTTGAATCTAAAATTAATTTCATTAGATAATCTGATTCACAATTAAATAATTTATTAAGGGGTATTCTGGTCTAGAAGCATGAAATTTCAGGTAATTTTTTAAGTAAAAAAAGGCAATCAATATTTTTACTGTACATTTTTTTATAAGTTATTTATTAACATTATAAAAATACAGAAAAAAATAGAAAACGTGACTATACCCACGATTTCAACCCTTCTAGCAATCGGAAACAAAAAAATAAAAAAGTATTAATCTACAATAGGGTGGCGCAAAAAAAAACCGACTATTTTTTTTTTTGAGTCTCGAGTAAAAAAATATCAGTTTTTGATGTTTTAAGAGCCCTCTCCAAAGAACAGCTCAAAAAAAAATTTTTAAGAGGTCGCTCCAAATTTTTTTAAATTTCAAAAATCGAAATTTTTTTTTTAATTTTTTTTCTCGTTACGTCATAATTTTATAGACCAAAAAAAAATAAGTTCCTTAAAGTTTTAATTCAAAATTAAAATTTTGAAAGGTCGTTCATAATTTTTTTTTCAATTTAAGAGTCAAAAAATGCTAATCCAATTAAATAGTCTCAAATAAATAAAAAAAAAATTATGAGCGACCTTTTAAAATTCACATTTTCAACTGAAACTTTCAGAAAAACCTTTTTTTTTGGTCCATAAAATTATGACCTAACGAGAAAAAAAATAAAAAAAAAAAATTCGATTTTTGAAATTTGAAAAAATTTGGAGCGACCTTTTAAAAATTTTTTTTTAAGCTGTCCTTTGGAGAGAGCTCTTAAAACATCAAAAACTAACATTTTTTCACTCGAGACT